AGCTTATTTATTACATTTGGCTTTTTATGTGTGATACACTTTTATGCATTCATGTTTACTTTCATGCATTGAACTACATACATGTGATCGTGGATCGTGATATTTATGTGATAGTGATATTTATGTGATATGTGACATGTGTGCTCTCTACTTTGATCTTTATATATGTCATGTCACTTGGTCATGCTCATTTGCTTTGCTTCCGCGTTTTACTCCGATGCAAATGAGCTTTATTTCTTGTACTCATGCTTATTTCATATCTATTGAGTACATCATGTTGGCTTGGGTCATATAAGCTTACCTAACTCTTTTGTTCTTATTGTCAAAAGCTTATATGAACCAAGCATGTTGAAAACCTCATCTCTTTTATATACTCGAGGTTGTATTGTCATCAATCACTAAAAAGGGGGAGATTGAAAGCATCTAAGCCCCTAGTTGAGTTTCGGTGATTAATAACAATACGTGATTACTATGACTAACATGTGTTTTTCAGAGGCAATTAAGTTAGGTCATGGTAATGGCAATTGATTAGGCAATCATGGTTGTCATGCCCCTATGATGGAAATTGTTTCGGTTTTCAAAGGATGGACGACAAGGTTAAGGATGGACTAGTTCTAAGTGTTGTTTGGTGTTGAAGAGACACTTAGAGTAGTTTAGGACTTTATTTTTTCTTTGGCCGTACTATTAAGGGGGGTATGGACTAGTAGCTTGACCTAGGTGAGTCTAGTGGGTTAGGTGTGGTGCACACTTGTCAAATCTAGCACTAGGTAGCTATGAAATAGCCCTTAGATCAATTGGAGCAAACTTCATTCACATATGATTTCGTGTTGGAAGTGAATGGAGGGTCAAATGTTGACCGGACACTGGTTTCGGTGTGACCAGACGCTGGCACAGAGTCCGATCAGTTCATTTGATCAAGGAGAAGTCATCTGGTTGCGACCGGATGCTAAGAGAAGAGTGATAGGATGCTGGATGCTAGAGTCCAGTCAACTCCAGTAAGGTTCTAGAGAGGGAGAATCCTGATCGGACATTTCTGGTCAGTGCTGATCGGACGCTGGTCAGGTTCCAGTTACTGACCGGACGCTAAATAGCGAAGTGACTGGACTCTGGGCTCCAGCGTCCGGTCAACATCAGTAAGGGTCTAGAGAGCAGTTTTTGTGACCGAACGCGTCCGGTCAGTGCTAACTGGACGCTGGTCAGGGTACGGTCACAACTTAATGGCTCTATGGTGGGGAGAACTAACTGGAGCATTCGGTTACCCTGCAGAGTGCTGACTCAAGCACATAACGGTTCGTTTTGAATGAGGGGGTATAAATACTTCATCTATTCATTCAAGGGAGTACTCTTGCCCATTTCAATAGCTAAGAAACACCCTTGAGAGTGCCAAGGAGAGCAAGAGCCTAGTGAGGTGATTGAGATTTGAGAATCCAAGACTAAGGCCTCATTAGTGAAAAGAGAGTAGCAAGTGTGCATCCACCCTTCTCATTAGGCTTGTTGTGGTCAAGTGAGAGTTCTTGCTTGTTACTCTTAGTGATTGCCATCACCTAGACGACTTGGTGGTGATTGGGAGTTTGGTGATCATCCGACGGAGCTTGTGGATGACCCAACTCAAGTTGTGAGCGGTTGTGGGTGATTCACCGTGATAGAGTGTCGAAGAATCAACCCGTAGAGAGCACTTGATCCTTGCGCCGATCAAGGGGGAGCTACACCCTTGCATGGGTGCTCCAACGAGGACTAGTGGGGAGTGGCGACTCTCTGATACCTCGGCAAAACATCGCCGCGTTCCTTCTTCTCTCTTTACTTTGAGCATTTACTTTTGAGCAATTCAATTCTTGTCTTTACATTCTTAGAATTGCCATGCTAGAGTAGGATTAGAACTTAGAGTGCTAAACTTTTGTGCGGTAGATCATTAGAATCACTTTCTAGGCACAAGAAGTGAAGTGGGCTAAATGTAGGGTTTAATTATTGCAAAGAATTTTAGAATTAGCCCAATTCACCCCCCCTCTTGGGCATCTTGATCCTTTCAATGCCGCCTTCATCCAAGTCACATCTTGCACCCTATTGAACTACAAAACAATTACTTGCAAATTCATTAGTCCAATTTGGTTGTGTTGGTCATCAAACACCAAAATTCAAAGTAAATGGGCCTAGGGTCCATTTTCCTTACAAACAAGATGGTGTTTCTTGCAAGCCCAGTTAGCTAGGTTTTGTCCCTCAGGCTCATGACCCCTCGGTCGGGAGAACCTCCCTCTTTGTATGTGACCTGGCCTCGGACTCTATATAATGTCAGCTAGGGCCCTTCGAAGGCATCGGACTCTCAAAACCTTCATTCAGGTAGTCCATCTTCTGGCTCTAGCTCCACTCTCCTACCTCTTCCACCATTGTTGCACCCCCCAATTATAAGAACTTCAGAGCATTCAAGTGAGGAACATGCACTCAATCTTCTCTGAGACTAGACATAGGGCTCCGACCTGAACCAGTATAATTCTTCGTGTCTTTTGGATGCTACCATTGTCTTCTTAAAGCAGCGCGACATTCGTATAAATTTACTAGTCGGTCTATAAAGCACCAACAGTTGGCACGCTAGGTAGGGAATAGTCGTGCACTCTCTTTGTTGTGAAGGAAGCGATGGTTCCTCGCGCCATTGATGGATTCGCCCATGGAACACCACCTAGTGGCCGTATCCGCCATGGGAACCCCAAATCCGCCAATGTCGATGGGCCAATGCCCACACTTGTCTTCGCCCAGCCAGGTCCTCCACCCTAGAGTCCTAGACCCCGTGGCCTACGGCAGACACGCTTTCGGAATGGCCCCAGCGGCTGCATCCCAAAGTTCACCTACATAGGGGGGCTAGTACCCTCTCTCATCACCGACCATGGTTAGGTCTTCCGCCCAGAAAATCAAAGACCTATGGCTCATGGCGAGCTCACCCACGGAATGGCCCTCGCGGCCACATCCTTTTGGAAACCATGAGATCCTCCGCGCCGATGGGTTAACGTTCATCACCAGCCTCTACCCCGTCCAGACCCACCACACGGGAAGCCTAGATCCTATGGTAGAGCCATGCCCCGGACTCTATGTAAGGGCAGCCAGAGCACCCTTCCAAGGCATCGGCCTCTCAAAACCTTCATTCGGGCAGTCCATCTCCTAGCTTTAGCTCCACTCTCCTACCTCTTCCACCATTCTTGCACCCCCATTGTAAGAACTTCAGAGAATTCAAGCGAGGAACATGCACTCTATCTTCTCTGAGACTAGACGTAGGGCTCCGGCCTGAACCAGTATAATTTCTAGTGTTTTTTGGATGCTATCATCGTCTTCTTGAAGCAGCGCGATATTCGTATAAATTTACTAGTCGGTCTACAAAACACCGACAACAGCTACCTATGGAGTGTGGTGTCAAAATTTGATCCCACACTTGCCGCATCTTTGGCATGGCTAGTGGTGACCGGTAACCAAACATGTCTTTGATTATACCATCTTCGTCCGCTTTTAAGAAGGCGTCTCCCTCAATAAATGTGACTATATATTAACAACACATTGGATGTTTTATGACAAACATGGCATGAACATAGAGCAATTCATCAATAAATGTTTTTGTTTATGACGTTGGAGGAGCTAAAAAAAGTGCTGCAACCATCCTCTTTAGCAGGAACATCAAGCACCGCTCAAAAAAGCATCATAGTTAATTTATAGGAGATAAAAGATATTGGTAGGAAAACACAGCAAAGTAGCATAGTTAATTTGTAGAGAGATAAAAATAGAAAAATTAAAATTAAAGCGCAGTACATCATGCACTACTGCTACTGTGAAAATAGGAAAATAAAATTAAAGTGCCTATAGAAGGATAGCTCGGTACGTCATGCACTACTGTTATTGAAAAAAAATGGAAATAAAATTAAAGCGCCTATAGAAGGATAGCTCGGTAGTACATAATGAACTGCTGAGATAATAGGAAAATAAAGCGCTACTAAAATAGGAAAATAAAAATTGAACTGCAAAACAACCTTCCTCGTTGGTGCTCTAAGCTGTATTGTGCTGACCACCAAGCTACAAAATAGCTAATAGTAGGAATCCAATTTTTCTTACATACCTTTTATAATTCAGTGTCCAATGAATATTAGGCCGCCACATAGAGTAAGGTGTGGGTCCGCCCCTGCAGACCTCGAGTCACATTGGTCCTCAATTGTCAAACTTTTGAAGGAAAAGAGTGGGTTGAGTTCTCAGCTACTACATTTCATAGTGAAAGAGGCAGTAGAAGCAGGTGGACTTCGGCGAGTGGACGATCGTCCATACGAAGAGAGAGCAGAATAGCGTGGCCCATGAACTCGCGCAATTGGCGAAGAGAACACGACATTCTGCCGTCTGGTGTTTCATTTCTCCAATATGTGTAGAGCATATATAGTTGCTAGGGAATGTAATACTTTCTCTAAGTGATTAATAGAGCTCTCTCTTCCTCCCAAAAAAAAGAAAAGAATGAACCGATCGGAAACACTTCAGACAAGCAATAGAGTTTCCACTAGGCTTTAGGAATGATCTTTCTCATAAAATGATGGCGGACCACATATATTTGCACGTCTTTATCAGGAAAAATTGGTAACGAGTAGTGCATGTCATTGCTTTAAGAAAGGCAAACGCAGTACAAAGGTTCCAATACAATGCCTGACTTCTCACACACGACCTCGCTCATCGTAAAGTATAGTGATGCAATGTCAGGATATATAATAACGCTACTATATCGAAGGACGTAAAAATACAACAAAACGACCTTGCTATCTAATATTACAATGCTCTAAACCAGGGAAGGCAGACAACGCTATATATATATATATATATATGCAGGCAATGGTGTAGCTGCATGCAGGAAGATCAGACAAGATCGATGCCTGGCCGGACCACTTGGCTGAAACGCAATCGAATTTGGAAAAGCGAGAACTAGTGAACTAGATGATGATCATATGCATCATCAGGAATCAGATAACATGCATGCAGATGCATGTTCATCAGGCCAGGCATGCCAGGGCCTCGGCGCTGCCCTTGGCGGTGCCCTTGGCGTTGTTGCACACGGCCTTGGTCTTGTTGTTTTTGCCGGCGTACTCCACGTTGACATCGATGAGCGACACGCCGCTGCATGGCTGCGACTGCGAGCAGAGCAGGCTGATGGCCTGTGGCGTGGACGACGTGCCCGTAATGTTGCGGAACGTGACGTCCTTGACGACGACATGCGAGGAGTTGCTCTGCTTGCCAGGGCACACCTTCTGGGGGCAGAAGTACTGGTCGATGATGATGGGGTTCGCCACCTCGTCCATCCTGATGTTCTCGAAGGTTAGATGCGACGCCGTCAGCACAGACTCGGCGTCCTCGTACGACTTGATGCGCACGCCGTTGGTGGTTTTCTTGAGCACGCAGTCCCGCACCGTCACGTCCTTGACATCCTTCTCGTCCTTGTAGCGGCCTAGGCAGCCGATGCTGATGCCCTGCCCGGGGCCGCAGATGATGCTGTTCACCATGACGCCGTTGCTCCCGGGGCCAACGGAGACGCAGTCGTCGCCGGTGCCGATGGTTGAGTTGGTGATGCTCACCTTGGAGGACTCTCCGACATGGACGCCATCCGTGTTCTCAACGTCCCCGGGCGCGGTGATGTTCACGTCCTTCACCGTGATGTTCTTTGAAGCGTCGATGTTGATGTGGAAGAACTTGGAGTTGAGTAGTTTGATTCCGGAGACAGTGCCGTTGGTCACGTAGAACAGCACCAATGTCTGCATCGCATCACGCACGCGCACACGTGAGTCCCGTCCGGTCCGTAATATAAATATAATAATTAAGGTGAGCATCGCACGTACGTTCGGCATCGCCTTCACGGTGTCGGTCTTGGTCTTGGTATAAACGGCGGTGCCCTGACCGTCGAGCGTGCCCGAGCCGGTGATGACAATGTTGTCGACGTGCGACACCTCGATCCAGCTCGCCGTGTACTTGGCCAGATCGTTGGATCCCAGCAGGTTGCCATCGAGCTGGATGGTGATGGCGCCCTTGCACGGGCCACTGAAGTTGAGAGGGCCGACCAGGTAGTCGCCCTTGCGGATGAGCACCGTGGCGCTTCCGGTCGCTCCGCACGCTGACGTCCACGCGTCTTGGACCGCCTATAAATAGATCATGCAGCGCATGCATCAATCACCACCGTCAGCATGAATGACATCATATCGATCAGATCAACTGCCTCTGCAAAACCATATATCGATGGTGTTGGCACTTATTTACATTTACCTTTGTGGAGTCCGTCTTGCCGTCGCTGGTCGCGCCGAGCTTGGAGATGTCGAACGTCCCGCTGCCTCCAGCCGCCTTGGCGGCGCCTTCCGGAGCTGCGGCGCCTCCAGATGCAGCAAGGGCTGCCGCCGAGTCTCCCGTCTTTGCTCCGGTCCTTTTCGCTGTGCATACCGCGCTTACAACCGCTAGGATGAAGAACACCCTGAGAGCATTGCTTGCAGAAGCCATTTCTCCTTGGGGTGGCCGGCTCTCCTCGCCGCTGGGGAGATGGATGTTCCGGAAGATATCCTTTGCTTGAGAGAGAGGAGCACCGTTTGCAATGTACACGTCTGGCCTTTGCTATTTTGAGGCAATGCTTGAATAGGGCACTCCTGTCCTCTGGTTTTTACAGGTCCTTGACCAACTCTTCCCGTTTCCAAGGTCCAAGTGATGCGGATGCTGCACAAGGCAACCTCATGACGTTTTACCAATCGTATCCGGAGATGTGCTAGTCTCAGCTGGCATATTGTGAACTTTTGTGCACATGCAAATTTCCTCAATTGATTCTATTTATTACATATAATAGTCTATTACAGCAGATCCTCTCTATCTCTATATATATATATATATATATATAAGTTCAAATTTAAAATTCTCAAGTTATTATTCATAGCACTATTAAAAATACTTGCTATTATTTAAAATGGAAATATGAACAGTGCACGAGCACTCACCTGGAAGTGGCTCAGGCACCTAAACTTTCTCACTATACAGCACTATGCGGAGGACTTATGGTGGATGGTGGATGCGTGCGTGATTAGGTATATGCGAATTATGGATATATGTGTAATTCTTATGATCTTTTGCAGGCTGATGAGACCAAAGGTTCAGCCGGTCGTGTGACTATGCTTGTGTCAGTCCTATTCGGTACTCACCGTATGCATCACTTTAGAACTAGGCTAACTCGTTCTTCTCCCTCGCTATCCCCAGGCAGTTCCACTCGAAGGGAACAATTCTCTATGCACACAGGGTTCTCTACAAACGCCGCTACCAGGGCTAACACGAGAATAGCACACGCAGAAGTTTCTCCTCTAGGGTCCCTAGCATAGAGACATCGTCCCATATGAACGAGCTTAAAGGAAGGCAGTGATTAAAACAGGAAAGTTTAATTCATTTCCACAGAAGCAAGCTTACATACGGCTTTTCCTTTCAGAAAATCCCAAGCATTTAGCACAAACCTTAGGGATTACCATACAAGCGAAGGAAGGTCACGTGGACTTCCTTTATTCTCTAATTTACAACGATGGTGGAGTAATACAACGGTAGTGGAGGATTAGTACTAAGGGTGGACGAACTTAGAGTGCTTCTGAGATCGTAGTCTTCATCGTGTATGTGGGAAAGTGGAGCGGTGGCTTTAGTGGAGGTATTGTTTGTGGTGGTCGTCGTAGTGGTTCTGGTTCTGGTTTCGGTTATGGTCGTCAATGCATGTGCCCGGCTTCTTCTCCTATGGAGCAGAAAGAGCCTTCTGGAGCATCCTTCGTGCTTATCTTCTGGAGAAGCCTTCAAGGCAAAGTCTTCAATTATTCATCTTTAGTGTTGCCTAGACAGCTGGACGGTGCTGCGGTCCTCAATAATTGTCCTTGCTATAGTAGAGTCACTGTATAATGCTTTTGCGTCATCCTCTGTCACGCTTTGTCGTCATGTGTATTTTTGGATTTTCTAAGTATGGTCTTCCACGCCCGAATGATTGATGTGCAAACATCAATCAAGAATCCTGGCATATAGTATTATCTTTCCCTAGCAGAATTGTTGATAACACATTATCAACATAGAGAATATATTTTTGTGTAATTGGATATATTTATTTATTTTAATTTTCATAATATTGAAATCTAATATTCTGGTCGTTGCCCATGACCATGAATATCTAACATCTCATCATAATTTTCATCATTATCATCATCATCGTATATTTGTATATTCATTTTTGACTAATAATCTTTCTTAATATTTTCTTCATAGTCTTTCGTTATATTTTCAAAATTTTCATCTATCACTTCTTATTTCTTGTAAGATTTCTTCCTTTATGTCTTTCTTCCATTGAAGAGTTATTGACTCTAATTTTTTTTTCATTTTTGTATTAACATATTCTTCATTCAATGGATCTATCTCTTTCTTTACAACTTCTTTATATGTATGCAGTCTGGATGGTCCCTCTTCTATTATATTTGGCTCTGTCCATATTGGTTTTATTTTTTGGCCTTTTTGTATTTCTGGATATAGTCTTTGGCTGCTGGCTCTAAAAAATAATTTACTCCTAGAATAATTCTTGTATATGAAAGAGCTTGATTAATATCTAAATATTTTTTCCAAGACACTCCTCCATCTTTTTCTTTTTCTATCTACTGAGCTATAACTGCTTCATATGATACATAGATTCCTGGTGTTTTTTCCCTATATATAACATATATGGGTATTTTCTCTATATTGATAGATGGTTCTTTTGGTTGTATTTTCCCATTAATCATATGAAAATATTCAGCCAGACTATTTAATATTGCTAGCATATAACATTTATCTTCTCTTTTATTGTTATGTTGAAACCAGAAATTGTCTAGAATGCATTCTTGTATCTCATCTAGAACAATGTGGTCTTGGGGCTTGAATTTATAAGTATTTGGTGGAAAAATTCTTAACTTATTATCAATTCCAAAACTGAAATATTCTCCCCCACTAGGTCTTGTTCCCTTCTTCATTACTACAAAATAGAAGATCGTGAAAATATATCAGGCAAGGTATTATTTTTACCTTTTATATGCTCAAATATTACTTTATAACCATTTCCAGTAATAATATCTTCAAATAAAACCCATCGCCTAGTCAAACTTTTCTTACTATTGACTTTATTGTAGTATCTGCATATTGCTTCACAGTCTGTCCTCACTGTGAAGTCTTTAAATTCTAGATATAATCTAAAAGCATTTATTGCAATAATAACAGCTAAAATTTCCACGTGTTGTTTATTGTTTTAACTTGTATTTTCCTGAAGCATACCTACATATTTTTTCTTCTAACTTCGGAGAGTACTTGTGTGATTTTTCTTTAATATTGCACCCCATCCTAACTCGGATGCGTTTGTTTCTATAATAAAATAATTATCATCTAAGGGTAATTTTAGAGTTGTTAAATTCTTGACCTTTTTCTTTAATAGTCCTTACTAACTTTATATCTTCAGAGTCAAAAAACTTTTGTCCATTTTTTCTTAATTTTGCATACAATGGACTAGCTAGCTTAGCTAATTTTTCAATATAATTTCTGGCATAATTTACTATTCCTAAGAATTGCTGCAGGATTTTCTTATCATTCATGACATCTGGAAATTGTAAGATTTTCTTTGCAATATGATCTTGTAAATAGATTTTTTGATCTCCTATTTCATAACTAAAAAATTTATCTTTTCCTTATATATCTCCATTTTTCTTTTAGACAATATTAACCATACTGTTCTACCTTTTTAAAGAAAGTTTCCAATTGAGCTATATGCTCTTTGTAGGATTTTGAGAAAACTAATAAGTGGTCAATATAAACTAATATAAATTCTTGATTTTTATTAAAAATATTTTGCATTTTTCTTAGAAATAAAGTAGGGACATTTTTTAATCCTAAAGGCATTACTAGCCATTCAAAATGACCTTGAGGACATGTGAAAGCAGTCTATTCTATTGAATCTTCTACCATTTTTACTTACCAAAACCCAGCCTTTAAATTAAATTTTGAGAAATATTTACTTCCTTGTATTCTATTTATCCATTCTTGCATATTTAGGATATTATAACCATCATCTATGGTATTATCATTTAGTCTTTTATAATTAATAACCATTGTTTACTTTTCTCTAGCTATTTTAGTATGATTTCTAACTATAGATGCAACTGATTTGTGAGGACTTTAGCTTTCTCTTATTGCTCCTAATTTTAGTAATTCTTCGATATGCATCTTAAATTGTTCTATGTCTTTAGGTGTTGCTTCTATAGGACTTGTCTTCATTATATGGTTAGGATTTATTATGTTAATCTTACATACTATAGTATTTTTATCCCAATGCTTCATTGGTATTTCTCTGATTATTTGAATATTTTCCAATCTTCTTATAATTTTATCTATATCCTTTTTAGATTTTATATCTCTATACCAATTTGGTGCTAATAATTGCAGACTGATATATTCTATACATGAGTTTGCTATATGAAATTCTTCTATATTTTTTTCCTACCTCTTCATCTATATAATTATGAGGGATGTTTTCATCAGATCCTTGGAGTTCTAGATTGGTCTTTCCTAGATTAGAATTTATAGCCTTTGGTACTTTTGTTATATATGGAATGTTGTCTTGATAAGAAATAAATGTTAATCCTTGCTAATGTATGATTGTTGTTTGTAAAGAGAATTGTAAAAATCTTAATCGTAATATCATATCATCATGTATCATAGATAGGTCTCTTATTGTAATTTTGTCCATTATATATTTTGTACTATTTATTTGTACCTCAACATCATAAGTTAGTTGATTATGAACCTTTTTCATTCCAGACATATTAATAGATATTTCTACCTTATCTTGATCTATTGTATGAACTATTTCTATATATTTTATGAAATATTTATCATGTATAATATTTTTTGTACAACCGGTATCTACTAATGCTAATATTTTATAAGTGATGTTAGGCGTTAATTTTACTTTTATAGGTACTCTTATTCCTATAATTTCTTTAAATGGTAATCTAACTATATATTTTCTACCAAAGTTTATTATGGCATCTTTTGATGGTATAGCTTTATCATTTTTCTATTTAATATTGCTTGATCCTTTAACTCGGTAATGCCTCTATCATTTTCTTCGATCTTATTTACTTCATTTAGTTCTATCTTACTTCTTAGCTCTTCTAGTTCTGCTTCTAAATTATTTATTATATTTTCTAAGTTTCTAACTCTACTTACTAATATTTTATCTTCTGGTTCTAGTTCTACTTCTTGCCTCCATTTTTGGTTATTAGTTCTTAAACATGATGAACATACTTGCTTTAAACATATGCTGCATGTGAATCTATTTTCCTGACTAGGATAATATATGCAGAAAGCATATTTTATATTATAATCACCTCTTCCTTTTATCCAATCATGCTCATAGTCTTCTTGATTCATTAATTCTATTTTTGTTTCTATTGAACTATTAATATTTTTAGATA